GGGCTGCACTGACAGAGAACTGTTTACTGAGAAGTATAATTTCATCTGAAATGTAACATACAGCTATATGGTCTCCCAAGTATATATGCCCTACACTATAGGAACATTTCAAACATTTTTTTCCTTTAAAAAGGCCTGTCTTGCTTTCTCAGAACTTACTCTGTTTACTCTGTTGAGTAAAGTTTTTGAGAAGCTTTCAAAATATCGAAATCCTTGATGCTGCTCTTGTACAGCTGTGATGTTCAATAGGTAGAAATAAGTAGGGAGAAGTGAAAAATCAGTGTCAATAAATATCTGGTTTTGTTTAGCATAAAATGGCTTCCTAGTTTGCCATTGCACATTTTCTGTAGAAAATGGTCTGGAAGCTGAAACTTCACAAAAAAACATAGTGATGAGTGATAAGCGTATGCTCCAAAATAAAACACATCTCAGGATGTTTACAATGAAAGGATTTTCTTTAGCAGTACCCCATACTATGAGGCTGTAGAGTTGATGCTATTCAGCCCTAAAAAACTGTAGCAGAGAAAGCATTTATTTAGAAACTGAGTAGGAGCTGTTCAGAGCAGTGCGTGGTTAATCCAAACTTTCATGTATTGATGCTTTCCCATAATCTCTTAATGTGTTCATAAATTTGTTTCCCCAACTTATGTATATTCAGTGGGGACTTTTCACTTTTACATTTGAAATTCTTGCATTTGTGCTGCCTTGTAAATATTTTCTGCTTTTGTGTGGCCTCCCTTTGAAAGACATCCTATTCTTTCCTTGATGGTCTTCATTTTCTCACTGCTCCATAATATAAGAACTTGTCCTGCCAAGAACTGTCACGGAGGATTTGTTACTCATCTCCGTTGCAGATTCCTCAGCTGACTTGCTTTTGGAAATGTTGTATTGACCATGTTAACAAACCTCTCTCACAAAACTTATTTTGGTGGTTCAGTCACTTCATAGGTCTTGTTTTCTGGATTCTACCAAAATGAATATTGTTACTGAAAGACTTAAATCTGTTTGTTCTGAGTTGTGGTAACAAGAAAGCTATGTAGGTCAAACACTTCATTGCTGCAAATTCACTAGTAATAACATAATTTAGCTGCATTATTGTATAATGAGGCTACTTGCTATTTGGATGTTGAGAACTAATGGCTGGAGGTTTACATGTCTTTGCAAAGGAGCTTTTAAAAAAAAAAGAAAAGCTTTTTGTCAAATATGGGATATTCGATGAACATACAGAACCTAGTGACTTAATTGAAGGGAGAAACAACAGTCTTTTATTCTGGTAAATGCAAGAGGTAGACTGTACAAAATCTTGGCCTTAGGACAGGCATCAGCAATGATGAAGCTAGAAAGATAGGATATTTAAGAAGGAGCTCTGCCTCTGTGACCGTGGAATACTTTCTGATAAACTGTGTGTTCTAAAGGGATTTGTAAGTTGGGGAGGAGGTATAATTTCATCACTATTTTTAGATGCTAGATTCAGCACAGAAGGCAACTTAACCCATTTTATAATTGAAGTAACCATTGTAGATGTTAACGACTAAAAATAGTAGGGGAACTGACTTAACCAGACCAAAAAAAAAAAAAGGGTGAGAAAATACACACTGTTTCATAGTCATCTGTCTCCCCTCCCTGTGTCTGTCCCATCATGTGTCCTGTCCGTGTGTCGTGTCCCCCCCTGCCCCAGGCTGAGTACATAGATCCTTTTCTTTGAGGTTCTATAATGCATTGCTAGAGTGTACAAGCAAGAGGTTGCACTTTGTAGCAATGAACTGTTGTGTATGTGTAAGGGTAAAAGTACTTGTAAATCAGTATCAGCTTTGCAATGGACAAGCCTTTTGAATAGAGTTGCTCCTGACTTCAAACCCTGACTTTAGCATTTGAACTGATTTTAGGATTGTAGTAAGGTAGTCACTGTCCTACAATAAGATTTTCCTTGGCGGAACAGGTTTCTGGAGAGAAGTAAATGTTTCTTTTTGTTGTTGAAGTAGGGAGTTCATGCTGCTGACCGTTTTCTAAAAGAATGGGGTGTAGGTGGGGGTTTGTCTTAGTATAGGTGCCAAAAGTCTTTATTCTGGTGTTTCTGCTGCTGGCAGGCGTGTTAGTGCTTTATTTCTTTTTCTGGTTTGGTTTTTTTTTTTTTGTGAATAACTGTGGTCCTTGTATTGGTTCCTTATGCTTTCCTCAACAAAATGATTTAGACAGGTAATGCCTTGAATTACCTCCAAGTTTCTGAGCAAGATTCAGAACTACCTAATTTCCTGTTAAGTTCCCTCTGCTTATTCTTGGCAAAGGCATCTGTGAGTTTGGGAAGAGACTGCTGTATCTATTTGTCATCTGCATCCACGCTGGGGGAAATACCCCATTATTTCTGTGCTGGTATGTTAAGATGAAGGTATTCCTAATGTAAACGCAGCTTATACTGGCAAAGCTGCATCTTTCCTGATGGCGCTTGCCTGCAGAACTGACTTGAATGACAGAAAAGTCTGCTGCTGTAACTGCGTGCACACGAGGGAATTCCTACATCCTTCGCTAAGTGAGCTATTTGAAAAGTTTTAATGTGAATGCGGTCTCAGTTTTGCTTTTAGAGAGAAATCATCACAATCGTAGAGTTCGATACAGTTTTACCACCCACTTTCATGTTTACCGTGAGTGTCTTGCTTTTGTGTGTGTGGTGGCTTGCATTTGTTTGTGGGTGTGTTTGGTGGGGTTTTTTTAAATAGGTAAAATGCAATGGATTTGAATCAGGAGGCTGTTAATTTGTATTTAATTTTGAACCCTCTCTTTCAGTAGGCTGAAGGAGGGGATAAGAGAACAAAAGAGAGGTTTGGGCAGAGAAAAAGAAAGCAGTAGAGTTTCAGAAGAGTTTAAACATGAAAGCAGGATCTGTTGCAAAAGGCTGGAGGGGCTTTGCAAAAAGATGTAGTAACTCACTTGCCCTGTTGACCTCTCTTGATTGTTTGGTTTTGGTATGGCATTTAAAAGCTTAAGTTTTATTTTCATTGTAACTTTTAAGTCAGAGTACCTTTTTCTTGTCAATTCCTGACATAAAGGAATGGTGTGACCAATGTTTAACCCAGAGCTTTTTTAAAAAAAAAAAAAAAAAAAAGTTGTACATTTTAAAAGATAGTGTACCAGAATTAATGGTTCAGTAAAATGGGCTTTAGGTAGCCTTGCTTCTGTGTACTTTGTTTCTTCCATAATGAGCAGAGTGATCCCTTCATTCTCAGTGGTTTATAGTTCCAGGGGTTAATTAAGTCTTCATCTTTGGCCCTCTAAACAATATTTTTTGTTTGCCTTTTTTTTGCTTAAAAAGCAAGCTTCTCAGTAGTGTGCTGATGTCAAGAAAAAATATCCATATCACTGTTTGTGAAATGAGAAGGACAAACCATAATAATGTGTGGATATGCTTGTTTATATACATGATCAATTCTTTCCTGATGTTGACTTTTGTTTTATTGCTGTTGGGAAAATTAGTAGGCTTATGCAATTGTAGTGAGAACAGTATTAACATCCATAGGAATTTATAAATATTTAAGGTAAGCTTAGTGTAGGGGGGGGTGTTGGTGGCTGGTGGGGGGTTTGGGGTTTTCTGTTTGTTTGTGTTTGGGTGTTTTTTGTGGGTTTTTTTTTTTTTTTTAAATTATTGGGAGCTTGGGTTTTTGTTTTTGTGGGTTTTTAAGTATCTTCTAACTAATCCAGGAAGGAAGAAAAAAGATTGGTTTTATTGTGGACTGTTACTAGTCAAATGTTGCTACCAAGTTAGTTGTATGTTAGTGGGCTTTGGAAAACTTGCTTATATTAACTTACACCAGTGAAATTACACTCCTAGGGGTTAATTTTCTGCAGAAAACCTCTGTGCATTAGGTGAAGTACTTTGTAGGTTAAACTACACAGCTATGCTGGCATAAGCTGAAGTTGCATTAGGAATATTCTGCTATTATTGTGTATTTATATGCCTTTAGTGATGAATTGTTGTATATGCTGGCCAGTTTTTAGAATTTTGGTCATCTTTGTCTATGCATTTGAACTGGTGTGCTGGAATGTGTTACTCCTCTGGTTTGATTTTGTTTGTATAAATATAAATAATGATGGGAGCTTTCATTGCTGCTGCTGCTGTTTGTATTTTGCTGATCTCCCTGCATCAGGCATATTCTCTCTTTATTCTTTGAGCAGTCAGGTTAGTTGTACAATATGTCTGAGATGGGCATTGAGCCTGAGGTCTCATCTCTTGTACCCTAATGGTCAGTATTCCTATTGTAATAAAAAGGAAAGGGAGGGAGGAAGAAAACACTTAGGAACTTGAATGAGTAAGGATTTTGGCCCTATGTGTGGTAAGAAATTGATCTCTTGTTGATGGCTGCTGATGCTGGCTACACTAGAATTAGGGCATAAAGTGGCCAGCTTGCAAAAATGGGTTTTGTTCCTCTTGCAGTACTGTTCATTTCAGTTGTGCTATTTGTAAAGTTGTTAAAATGGCAGTCCTTGCACTAGCACCCGATTATTTTTTGACACTGATTCATGGCACCTGTTGCTGAAAGCACATGTCAGTAAGAGTCAGTTTTCTAGTGTTGATGGGTACTCATTTCATTTTAGCGCCTTAATCATAGTACATTCTTCCTCAAGCTTAGATGAGGTTATATTCTGTATGCCTTCTTGGCTTACTAAAACTTTCACAGATTGAGACTTCTAGTGTTTGAAATATTACAAGTTGCACTGCTCTCTAATCTTTAATGGCTTCTGGTAGCTTTCCAGGGCTAACAAAATAGCTGTCTAGTCGTAGTAGTGCATATCTAAATATAATTACAAGCTTGGGTTGCACATCAGCAATAAGACTTGCTACAGAATTGTCTTAGTTTTCTGTTTTGGGGTTTTTTTGGTTGGGTTTGGGTTTTTTTGGTGTTTTGGGGGTTTTTGGTTTTGTTGGTTTTTTTTTTTTAAGTAGAAGTATGTTGCTGGTAGCACCTGACATGTATTTTTCTGTATTCTATCTTTGTCCCTTTCTCCATAGGAATTACTGTAATTATAGAGAGAACCTGAATTACAATGGGGGACGACAGTGAGTGGATGAAACTGCCCATTGACCAGAAATGTGAACACAAGGTAGGAAATCTTGTCTTTGAGTTTGGCTTGCTGTATCTCTCTGCTGTGGTGATTCTGTGGTACTCCTCTGTGTAAATACCCCATAGTTAGGTAATCTCAACAGCTGCACAGTGTGGGTATGGCAGATCTGAAACTGCATCAGTTCTAGCCAAACCTAGAGGCTGAATGTCGTTTATTAAGCATGATTTAGTAGCATGATAATCTGTATGGCATAAGGTTGTGTGCTGAAAGATCAACACACTCATTCATCTGTAGCCGAAACTATTGTTGGGCTCCCACCTACTCATCGGTGGTTGTTACAGCTTAGGAAGAGCGGTGGGGAAGACTGGCATCTCTCTATCCAGATCATTCTTGGCAGGAGAACAACAAGTATTTTGTCCTGTTGCATCTTATTCGTATAGTCATTGAAGAGAAATCTTGCAGATGCCAGCTTACTGAGCACACTTTCAACTATGATTGGAGAACTTTGTGAGATTGGTGAGTTAAGATTGTACTAGCACAACATTTAAACATCTGATTTCTACTTCCAGCTATGGAAAGCCAGATTAAATGGTTATGAAGAAGCCCTTAAGCTCTTCCAGAAGATAGATGATGAAAAGAGTCCTGAATGGTCCAAGTATCTTGGGTTGATAAAGAAATTTGTGACAGACTCCAATGCAGTGGCTCAGCTGAAAGGACTGGAAGCAGCGCTTGCTTATGTTGAAAATGCTCATGTAGCTGGGAAGTAAGTAGCCTTTTCTTGCTATTAGTAGGCTGTATTGACAGTTTAATGTGCCTGTCTGTGAAATGTTGCCAATAGATTGTACAGTGGCAGCTAACAATTCTTATCTTTACTGTTGAGAGCAGGACTTGCTTTCTGATCTAGAGAATTTGCTGAATTGTAGGCTTCCCTTGTAGATGGCCTCCATGTGCATATTAACTTGTCAGAAATTGCTAACAATGTTCAAAGAAACTATTAAAGGCAGTAGTAAAGATTTCTGAAATGGTAGAGAAAGTGAATCAGTAATTTAGTGGTATAGGTGCTGTGAAATGGAATCCCTGTTCTTGTGTGACTAAAACAGCATATACGTACAGGGAGCCTTTTTTCCCAGGGAGATATTTGTGTAATTCATCTGTGAAATAAAATGTAGTTATGTTTATGTGGTGTTGCATCCAACTTAACCAACATGAATCTTCATACCTGCCAATTTCTTCACAGGATGTTTTTTAGTATTTCACTGTGGTCTAGCCCATGAAATAGCCCATACTCCTGAGGGTGAGATAAAAACACCTAATGGGCCAGATCAGTGCTTTGGTCCACTGACTTTGTAACCTGATGAAATGAATAAAAGTCTTATTTAAAAAACAAATAAACAAACCCAAAGCTTTGTTTAAAAACCTAACAACCTTCCAAACCCCTTGATTTAAAAGTGGTGTAAATGATTTAGTTGATTGGAAGCTTTGAAACAGACGTGAAATTCTGTGCTGGGATTATGTGCCAATGCTATATGTTTGTTAATTATAATGTATGCAATTCCAGGAAATGGCATTTATTTGTGGACTTGAACTAAAGTATATTAATGAATACACTTTTGAGAAAATGTCTACTATTCACTGTCTGGGGTAGTCCGGTATTAGGAATGTGTTAACTAGCACCCAGTCTGCAGGAGTTTTTTTGGTTAAACTAGAGGTTGAAGTCATCTCTTACAAAAGGTTATTAGCTTCAAAGTTAACTTAGAATTTAGTCCCTATTATATGAGGACTTGCTGAGTTTTAATCCATGTTTTGGGTGTTTTGTGTGCTTTGTCTGTGGATAACGATGTAGAACACCTAATTCGCTTAAATGTTCCAAAAGTAACACTCTGTCGTCTTTCAGGACAACAGGAGAAGTAGCATCTGGAGTTGTAAATAAAGTGTTCAATCAGCCAAAAGCCAGAGCAAAAGAGCTTGGTCTAGATATATGTCTAATGTATATAGAAATTGAGAAAGGGGAGGCAGTACAAGAAGAATTACTAAAGGGTCTGGACAACAAAAACCCAAAAATCATAGTAGCATGTATAGAGACACTGAGGAAAGCACTAAGGTAAGCTTTTTTGTTTGTGGTTTGTTTGGGTTTTGGTGTGTGGGTTTTTTTGTTTTGTTTTTTTTTTTTTTTTTCACTAGCCCAGCAGTATGTAGAGTCTAATTTGTTGCTTAAATCTTTAGCAGGCCCTTGTTATTGTTGAACAGGATGTATCTGTACTGAACTGATACTTTCTGACAACAGTTGAGAGCATCATGGGATTTGTTAGATGTGAGGGATGTCTCTGTTGTACGAGAGTCATGTGGATCACTTTCGTTCATGGCAACTGTTTACCAAACTTCCATTTTTACAATGGACATCTGAAGGAAGGGCAGGATTAGTATGTTCTGTTCCAGACTGTGGAGCTTCTCTTCTGAATAGCTGAAATAAACTCACTGATGGGAAAACTAAAATGTAGTCTTCTTTTAAAAAACGTTTTTTAAAAAAACGCTGTTTTCCTCACTGATGTGAGCATCTTTAATTGGGTACATGGTGTGTGTTTTTAGAAGAAAAGAAGAAAGAAAAAAGAAAAAAGCTTATTGCACAGTAAGTTTCCATTGTCCGTATAATTTCTTTATTAAAAAGAAAAGCTGATAATGCTCCCTAAAAATCAAATCCAATTTAATTATGATGGGGCAGTTGGTTTCAAGATTAGATTTGGTGCATCTTTCTTTTGTTCTTCAAGTATATTTGTTGCCTTTGAGTTGAGTGAAAAATACTGGGGTTTTATCAAATTTATACTTGGTGTATGTATAATTAACTGTCCATTAGATGATCTTTTCTTTTTAAAAAAAAAAACAAACTTAAGTTTGGTATTAATGGACAGAACACTCTTTTTCTGAATAAAGTAGTCCATGTGAAAACTGTATAATATAGATGGCAAATGTCTTATGCTAGGTATTTTTTAGAGAACTTGCTGAGGCATATGTATAGATGGTCTCTGTTAAACTAATTGTTTCAGGCTTCTGTAATAGAAGTCAAAATAAAGCACTTGGCTTAGCACGTTACCTATGCTTCTACTAAGTGAAACTACTGTCCCACATTTAAGAATATATTTTAGCTATTTTAAATTGCCTTATCTAATCAAATGTCCTTTTAACAGTGCGGTGTAATTAGAAACCAGCATCACCTTCCTCAATATCTTTCAACTAACCACGCCTATAAAACGTGCCACATCTGCCTTTTTTTATATATGCAGTATTTTATTATCTTTGAGATGGCAAGATCAAATTCTTTCATGAAGCCCTCTTGACTTAACCTTCATCTTCTGCTTCTGAGTTGTGTTGCTACCTCAATTTGTCTTGTGCTTTGACTGCTTCTGCATTGATAACAAAATTTGTCTATGTTGTACCTAGGTGTGTAGCTTGAGGGCATAACTAGTTTAGCTTCTGGTGTTTTTTATCTTGTGTTAAGGTTTCTGTTCTTTCTTGTGTTGTATGAATTAGATAATACTATATGAATTGGATAAGAATAAGAGATTTGCATAGGTACTTTCCTAATATGCTCTTTTTTTGAGTCATAGTAGAAAAATAAAAATCTTAGGCAACTCATTTGTTCATATTCTGCATCTCAATTGTGCTGTTTCTAAGACTGGAGCCTCTTTTGCAGGTTTCAATACTTAGTATTGCTCAAAGTGGGCTTGGCAATAAAATGTTTAGCACTAGAATTTTTAGAAAGTGAGACATGCAGGTTTTGGTTCTTGAGCAGCCATTTTTACTAGCTTTCTCGTGTACTTGATTGGAGGGAAGCAGAAGAAAAAGTGATTGGTGGAAAGGTTAATTCAGAACTCTCAAGGAAAAGAAATACTTCTGAATCAAAAAACCTTATGGCTTCTGAGTGATTTAGATATGCTTTAAGAACTGTAGCAGTTAACTTTCAGTGTGAAAAGTTCTTATGTTCTCATCAGCAGTGATTGAAAAAGGAAGTTTAGCATATTAAGTTCAACAACATGTAGAATCTGCTAACAGGGAAGGGTGATTGGCTGGGGAAACTTGTTTTATGTGTCCTTTCAGCAGCACATGTTTTAACACGCATGTTTTCTGTGAAGATGACCCAGGCTCACTATAATTATCTGGTCCAACAAGTGGAAAAGTGACTAATGCTTTTACTGCAGTTTGCCTCCAAGGATAGACAAAGGAGATTCTATTCTGATTTAAAAAAAAAAAAAAGTAGGTCATACAAATTTTGGTCTAAGGACACTTTTTTCTTTTTCTCTTTCTTTCTTTTTTTTCCTCTCCCCCGCCCCCCCGGCAGGGGAACAGATTTAAGCAGCACACTGGATTAAGTGCTTTGAAGTAATTTCAGAGGTCTGATTTTGAAATTCCAAGCTGGGTGTGGAGGGTAATTATGATAGGGCAAATATTCTTTATATTTTACAGTAGCTTAGTAGCGTCACAAAATAATAGCTATAATAATGATTTGAGTAAATGACACAATCCCTAAATGTGCACTGGAAGCACTGCATAGATTGTTTAAAAAAAAAAAAAGTTAGTTATTTGTGGATCACTCTCTGGTTACTACCTAGACAGTGATGCTATTCCATGTTTTTAACTTGCAGTGAATTTGGTTCAAAAATAATCTCACTGAAGCCAATCATTAAAGTATTGCCAAAACTTTTTGAATCTCGGGAAAAGGCTGTTCGAGATGAAGCCAAACTCCTTGCTGTGGAGATCTACCGTTGGATAAGGGATGCTCTGAGACCTCCATTGCAGAACATAAATTCTGTTCAGGTAGGCAGAAAGTAGTTCTGTATCCAAACATTTGAGAAAACACTTCTATGCTCACTCTTCCTGATCCTGTGGTGTTGGGCATTCTTAAAGTCAAAGCTGGAATTTTTCAGTAACAGCAATGTTACTTTTTAGCTTCCTGTAACTTCACCTAAAATGTTAGTCCTTGATTATTTGTAAAGAAATGGTGACAATGTTTTGTTATTCTGAATATATGTGAAGTTGCAGGGGGAGCATCATGTTGAAACTGAGGAGGGGATTTGAGAAGTAGAATGGTATTTCTTGGAGACCTAGCCCACGGGCAAATGGTTACCCTTATAAAAGACCCCTGCGCTGAAAGTCTTCAAGTCAACCATTTTTCTTCGTTGCCTTTTTGCTGAAGTTTTTTCCTCTACACAGCCCTTCAGGCTTCTTCTGGTGGTGCTCAGGATGTGACTGTTCCACTTCAGGAAGTGGCATTACATTATGATAGATAACTATGCTATTGGAGATGGAACATTCCATTATTTTAAAACTTTATAAATTATTTATGCATCCTTCCCTCCTACCCACTTGAGTTAATTGTGTTCAGGTGGAAAGCAGCAACTTGCTGGAAAAAGGCATGGTTTAAAAAAAACCCAAACTGTCTCATCAAATGTAGCTCAACATGTTTGTTTCATCTTAGTTTTAGTGTGTAATAATAGCATGGCTGTAACAAAAAAAATCTTCCTTCATGCTCAGCCATTTTTATTTTAAAGCTTCTACAGAGGGGACACACCATTCTGACTGTTCTACAGTTTGTTCTTATGTAAATGCTTTGCACTGATATTTTTGTTGAAGATACTCTGTTCTGTGGATATACTTGGTCAAAAGCTTCTGAACAGTGAATGTGAAGGGGAAGTCACTTCTTTAGTGGAAAAAAGAACTTGAAAGATAGTGCTGTTTTGGCTTTGAAATGGGAAACTCCATTGCTTTCCACGAAGCGTTGCTTGTCTTGGGGTATGTACAAAATGTCTCTGACACAATGATTCTTTTCCCTTTTGCCAGCTGAAAGAACTGGAAGAAGAGTGGGTCAAAGTGTCATCAGCTGCTCCTAAGCAGACCAGGTTCCTGCGTTCCCAACAGGAGCTGAAAGCAAAATTCGAGGAGCAGCAGGCAGTTGGAGGAGATGCAGATGGAGGTAAATTATTTGATCTCTGAACTCCGTTGGAAAGTATATCACTGGTATATTATTTGTGAAGGAATGCATTAAATTGTAAAGGTGCTTTTATTCAAACTGGTGCAAAACGTGCGGTGCAGTACACAACAAGAAAACGTGGCTGGGGCAAAAACTTCCTATGAAAGAGTATCTGTCCTCTGGAATAGCAAAATCACAGCTGCTGATAGTACTTTTTTAAACATTGAGCTTTAGGTGGTGCTGTAGTCAAAATTTCATTTGTCACTCTGCTTCTATTTTTCTCTCTTGTTGCAGGAGGTGATGATGAGGAAGAGGCAGTACCACAAGTAGACGCATATGAGTTACTTGAAGCTGTAGAAATTCTTTCCAAGCTTCCCAAAGACTTCTATGAGAAAATAGTAAGCATAAACTTAAATACTACCAGTTGATTCTATGACATGTGGAGCTAATGAGCCTTAAGACTTACTGGTGTTCTGCAATATATGCTTTACTGCTACATGGATAATAACAGACTAGTGTAAGTAAAATATAGACTATCACAAACAAGTCTCAAAATTCGATTTACCAGCAAGAAAGCTGTCATTTTAGGGAGCTGAGATGTCCTCGAAAGGACTGTATTTCATATTTCATTGCAATTATCAGTGTTGAACTGTAGGGAGACTTTGGCTTTCTCAGGATAGAACTAAGTTTTAAGATCTATGGTTTGTGGCAATTACGTTTCTCTAGAACTGTTTGTATTTATAAATGAATGTAAATTATTTGCTCTGCAGGAAGCAAAAAAGTGGCAAGAAAGGAAAGAAGCTCTAGAAGCTGTTGAACTGCTGGTGAAAAATCCCAAATTGGAATCAGGAGACTATGCAGACTTGGTGAAAGTTCTCAAAAAGGTAATAAATGAAACACAGAGTACACATATGGTTTAATATTTTTTGTAATTTATTTGTGTTATACTTTAAAAGTTACAGTTGAGATAATACTAATGAGTAGAAAATTATTAGCTGGAACAGTGGTGGAAATAGCCCAATCTGTGGCCCACTGACTATTCTAAGAAACTTCTATGTCTCTGAAACTTGGATTTTTCAGTCTTTAACACTGTTTTTTTGTTCATTTTTTTCTCTTCAGGTTGTTGGAAAGGATACAAATGTTATGTTAGTTGCTTTGGCTGCCAAATGCCTTGCTGGACTAGCTGCTGGCCTCCGAAAGAAATTTGGACAGTATGCAGGGCATGTAAGTAAGAGTATGTACTTCTCCTGGTTTTATTGATGCTGAACACCTCTTTTTCTTTTTTTTTTCCTCCTGTCAATCCTTGGTATTTATCAGAGGTATTGTTTGTACAATTATGAATTCCTACCTACCTCTTAATGGAGGAAGCAATGAAATATCTGCCAAGATCTCTTGCAGCTTAAGGTTAAAAGGACCTTGTTTATTCACATTCAGCAACATGAAGCTTAATATTGCAATAAATCTTCTGTACTTAGATAACTCTGAATTACTCTGCCATGAAATGAACTTTACTTACATTACCTCTTCCTGGAGATACACCCACAGAAATGCATTTGTAGGCTACAGTGGAAAAAAAAATAGCTTCTGAACCTGAATTCTACTTAGCTGCTCCATGATACATATTTTAGGATGGTTGGGTTTTTTGATTTTTTGGGAAGGGTTGGTGGTAGGGTTTTTGTTTGTTTGTTGTCTGGGTTTTGTGGGGTTTTTTGTCTGCTTTAAATAGCCAAACTACTGAGATTTTTGGTACTAAAATGTTCTGGTGATCTAGTTCAATGCTGCTCTTACTAACAGCTAATATCAGGGAATACAGGGAAGCCTAACCAGTCTCTGGAAAGAAAGGGAGCTTTTAATTAGTTGCAGTTATCTCACTTGTTTCTCAAGCCTCTGCTGCTGTGTTCTTTAAGCTGCTCAATTGAATTTTTCTTGTGATAAGCAAGAGTGATGGAGGTAGAGCTTAAAGACAGAGAGAACTGATGTGTCTGGCTGCTGGTAGTGTTATATTTTGTGATGAATTTGGAAGTTATTGAATCTCACTGCTTCAGAAACATTCAAGTTTCCTGAACTCTGCACAACAGTTTGGACAAAGTCTCTTTCATTCCAAAAGCTGTCTGTAGTTAGTTGCAAGAAGCATTCTTACATCTGTTTACACTTGATTTGTGTTTTAAAGGTTAACCCTCATAGCTACAGAGTTAGTATTGAAAAGCTGAGCTTCTGAAATAAGGGTATAGCTCCACGGTTGCCAAGCAAATGGTGTTGAGAAGATGAGATTTTCAGTACTGTAATGACAGCTATGAATTGCATAATCTCAGCAGTCATTTTACCAGTTGACTTGATTTGTTTGCTGGATTTATTTACTGGTGAGGAAGATGTAGACTTTTTCTGAGAGCAGGCATTCAAAGTGTTATAAAACAAAACTGTTGCTAGAATTGTGGGATTATTATAAATTCTATTAGTTAAAAGTGAAATACAGGACTAATGTTACAGTCTGCAGTCTATGTTAAAACAAGAGTGATGAAATCAAGTGTAGAACCATGCTACTCACTGTAATTGAGCACTACTCACTGTAATTGGGTGCATGTGGCCCAACTTCACCTCTGTTGACTGCTTTTGGAGCCCTGGACTGACTTTTCCCTCCCTCCCTCTCTCACATAGGATACAGCTTCTATCTTCCATGTTAAAAAAATACTAATTCTAGCTGTCATCACTTTCTAAAACAGAGATTTAATTATTTTAAAATATCTCCTTCCTATGACTTTGTTCTCTGTAGGGCATAGAAGTGTCTAGCACCTGCAGTAGCATGTATTTATGGTGCCATTCTGTATTAATTGAGGCTTTTTTAGTGCTAAAGTCTTTCTGAACAGGGAATTTGCAAGTTGTAGCCCAGCAAAGAATACCAGCTGAGCCCAGGTCACTGTGTGTTGCAAGGGGTTGAGATCTCATAGTCAGATTCTGCGTAGAAAGCATTATCGATGTTATTGAAGAGCTTATAACTTCTGTAAGGCATCAGACAGATTCCAAGCTATGAACTGCATTATGTTTATGAAAATCTTGAAAAGAGCCTGCTTGCCATAGTTAAAAGCTCTTTGTGTTTCTGTCTCGCTGACAGAAGTTCTAACTTCTTGCAGAGACCATACTTAAATGGAGCTGCTTGTATTACTGGCACAGGAGAGTGTCTGCTGATTCCTTCCCCTGCCTCCCCCTTAATTATTTATTTATTTTATTTTATTTTTCAGCAGTTGGCTGACTGAGCAGCTAGATTGGGTATAAATTGCTCTGAAATTCCAGTATGGCATAGTTTAGTGTCAGGTGTGCTTTTTCAAGGTGATAGATCTGAAAAATATTGCTACAGGAAGAATTCAGGTTGCTTTAGAATCATAGAATCATTTAGGTTGGAAAAGACCTTTAAGAACATCCAGTCCAACCATTAACCTACACTACCAAGTCCACACTAAACCAATCAAGGGTAGACTAGACTAAACCCGAAGTGCCACATCTACCTGGTTTTTGAACACTTCCAGGGATGGTGACTCCACCACCTCTCTGGGCAGCCTGTTCCAATGCCTGACCACCCTTTCCGTGAAGAAATTTTTCCTAATTTCCAACCTAAACCTCCCCTGGCGCAGCTTGAGCCCATTTCCTCTCATCCTATTGCTAGCTACATGGGAGAAGAGACCAACACCCACCTCACTACAACCTCCTTTCAGGTAGTAGTAGAGAGCGATAAGGTCTCCCCTCAGCTTCCTCTTCTGTAGGCTAAATAATGGTCTTGTCAGCTGTGGGTCAAATGAGGGCTTCTTAATGAGCCATGCTGAGTGCTGTCAAGAAGCTGGGAACGAGGGGACAGGTTATGTACCTTCTTGGATTCTTATAGTACAAGAACACAGCACTCTGTGCTGTGAAATTGTTTAATTTCCATTCTGTTACTCTGTGTTCCAGACCAGTAGAGCCAGAGTATTCATCTGTAATTATGTGAACTTTTATATCTGCCTTTTGTTTAGCTTTGCTATGAAATTGCTCAAAAATCTGTATTTGTTAATAGATTGACTGGAATGAATTTAATACTGGAGATCAGCTAGAATAAACTAGTTCATACTGCTGTTGTGTACCCCTGGAGGGGGCAGCAGTGATGTTTGCATTATTTGCTTCTCTGCAAAATACCAGGGAACAGTCTGTCAGGCTTTCCAGTTATATTAGTGAAGAGTGGATTGACTACTTTTTTGGTTTTGTTTCTTTTTCCTTTTCTGTAGGTTGTTCCAACAATCCTGGAGAAATTTAAAGAGAAGAAGCCTCAGGTAGTGCAGGCACTACAGGAGGCCATTGATGCAATCTTTCTTACAGTAAGTAAGAGTGACAATCTTCCCATTGTCTGAGAATTGGTCTCTAATTTTGATTTGCTTTTCTCTTTACTGAAACTAACGACTTCTTTATCCAACACTGTAGACCACATTGCAGAACATAAGTGAAGATGTCTTGGCAGTGATGGACAACAAAAACCCAACAATTAAGCAACAAACATCCCTTTTCATTGCAAGAAGCTTCCGCCACTGCACACCTTCTACTCTGCCAAAAAGCCTGTTAAAACCTTTCTGTGCTGCACTTCTCAAGGTAAAGCAGGAGGAGTTGGTAGTTCTCTGGCATTGACTCGAGCACTGTTGTTAAGCATTGCATTGCTTTGGGAGAAAGACCCTTCTAGTAATGCAAGGACTTGTGTAGCCATCAGTGTCAGTTTTGACTGATGTCAAACTTGAAGATGACTCAGTCATGGGAACAGTTTAGTATCCTTTTTCTTAGCTTCTCTGAAACTGAAGACTCGCTAAGTTTATTACAGATTAAGACAGTGATTTGCACTATTAAACTTCTGGACACTGTGCCACTTGCTTCCTGCAGACGTCTCTAGCAAGTTTTTGGTGGAATGCTACATATCATTTACCATGAATAAAAGAACCATCATTGATTCATACACTGCAGTTACACTAGAGCATTTATCAGTGTAAACAATAACAATGATACTTTTTTCTCATTGCAAAATGGTCCTTTCCTTGTTATGGGAAATATCCCTGGCTTCAAAAATGGAGATTTGAACAGGGTTGCAGAACTTCAAACTCCTTGTGAACTTCCATGGTGTTGCAGTATCTATTAAAACATGAACATTTACCCTCTTCTTCTTGTGTGAAAGATCCAAAGATAGGAAACTGGCTATATCTGAGAAACAGTACACTTGATCAGTACATAGGAAAATAGAAGTGAAAAACAACCATTTTCTGCAGTGGAGTGTTAAGGATTATTCTATAGTAGATGTAGATTTTAAGAAAAGGGGAGGGGATTTATACAGAAGATGGATTTAAGAATCTGTTTAGGTATGAGCTGCAAGTCATATGATACAAGTTGTCTTTCTCTGCAGCATATCAATGATTCTGCTCCTGAAGTAAGAGATGCTGGATTTGAAGCATTAGGCACTGCCTTGAAAGTGGCTGGAGAGAAAGCTGTGAATCCTTTTCTAGCAGATGTAGACAAACTAAAGCTTGATCGGGTGAGTTTGTTATCATAAATGTTGGGTGTTTTTTCAAAAAAAAAAAAAAAAAAGCTCCATTTAAAATGCGTCTTAGGCTAGAGGAGACTAAAGAGGATGCTTTAATTAATGACTTTCAGCACAGATTTTTGAAAATTTTATTTTTTACTTAGAAGTTACTGATGTTGCAGGGAATCTGAAAATCTCTTTATTTCTTGCTAGATTATCAAGCATCTTTTCTCTGACTTCCACTGCCTAAAATGCATTAGTATGTTAACATTGTACCTTTTCGTTTTTATGTAAAGTATCTGTTTGGCCTCAAGGCTGTATTACCTATGAGGTGGTTTGTGAGGTTTGGTTTGGTGGTTTTGGGGTTTTTTTGGGGGTGGGGGGGTGGTGGTGGTGGTTGTATGTGGGGTTTTGTTTGGTTTTGAACACTTTCTCTGTTGTCTGGAACAAAGTTTAGGGTTTTAGGTCACAACCACATGGTCTAATTCTATATTACTAGACAGGATTTGGTATTGGAGACTTAACTTTCCAACAATGAAGCTTTCATGCTTTTGCATGAGCTAACAGGCTTGTTGACTGAATGATGATTTTATAATTTAAGGTGCTAAGAATTAGTCTTTAGAGCATCTGTAAGTATCAGGGGGGTGTCAATGCTTTCTATGTGTATAAATGCATTTCACTTTGAACTAGAAAAATTACTCTAGCAATACAGTGATGGCTGATGCCATTGAGTAGTTAACATTACTGCTGTAAGAAACACAGTATAACAAAATTTTGTGAAGTAAACAACTTCATGTTTTTTCCAGAGTAGTTAAGTTTGAGCCACTGCTGTTGAAGGGACACTATACATCCAATTGTGGTAGCTAAATAGCTGCTTTTTTTTTCCTCCCCCCACTTTTCCCTTTTTTCCTCTTTTTTTTTTTCTCCTTTTTTTTTTTTTTTTTTTTTTTTCTTAAACTGCTTGTCAGATTAAAGAGTGTGCTGAAAAGGTAGAACTGGTTTATGGTAAAAAGACAGGAGGAGCTGCTGAGAAAAAAGAAGGCAAGCCTGTTACTGGAAAGACCCCTGCTCTTTCAGGGACTGGTGGAGATAAAGAAACAAAAGATGGAGCAACCAAACCAGGACCACTGAAAAAAGCACCCGCTGTGAAGGTAAGAGAGATTGCCAAGAGATTGTCTGACAATCACAGTTGTTTGTGATTGTGTCGAATAGTTACTTATTGAAGATCAAAGACGGCCTGTTGAACCTCTCCTGCTGCTGAGGAATCGCTGTCCTTCTGTAGGATTAGGTGAGCCCAACAACAAAAAGAATCTGGGACTTTCCAAGAATGTACTTGATGAAATCTTAGTTTTTAATGATACAAACTGTCTTGTCACTTATGTCTTAATACCAGATTTTGATATTGAAATAGTGATAGACCACTGGAGGCGTTCAGAGGAGACTCAGATGTTGTCATGTTAATATGCTCTGTGGTGATATAGTAATATTTGGCTGAAGTTGAAGTCTCTTCTTATAACTAGCAAAGTTTCTACTTAAGGGTTGAGTATTCTCTTCAGTGTTGTTTTTAGTTTGTTACCATAAATAATTTGAACTGTTAACCTGTACTACTTTAAAATGATTATTTGGATTTTAAAAATTTACCTAAGTAGCACTATCCTTTGAAATACCCTACTTATTTCTCCAGGTGGGAAACCTGGAAGTGAATAGTAGAATGGATCATATTTTTCAAAATCTATTGATACTCTGGTAGCCTGGAAAAGAGACACCAGTCACAAGTTTAATCAGTATCCGTAGGAGAATACATAGGTTAATTCATTATTCCCTGAACCTTCACAAATACATATATTCTTTCCCTTTTCATCTTTCATTGTCTTGTGTGTTCTTGTAACTATACATGTTTTATAAAACCTGGTAGTCTGAAAGCAACATATGAATTAAATAAGCTCTAGCAGAAAACTATTTCCTGCAGCTGTTATGGTACTAGAGAGATATGTATTTTTTGATGTTAGAATGTAGAAGTGTGGAAAAACAACAGTTCTTTTGGTATCTGACGAACTAGAGACCTGCTTGATCTTGGCTAACTTGTCCATTTCCCTTCTAGTCTGGGGGCCCACCCAAGAAAGGCAAACCAGCTGCAGCTGCAGGTATGGGAGGTGCTGGGGCTAAAGGCAAGAAGGGTCCCGAGACCAAAGAAATATTTGAATCGGAGCTCTCTGTGAGTATTCTGCTATTCTCTGGAATACAAAGTCCTCTGTATAAGTAGCTTTGGTTAATCAGTTTTTCAACTACTACAAAATTTATATATCATGTTGTCCTTAAACTGGAATGGATGAAAAAAAACTAACAGTGTGACTACTTCATATGTAACTTAGGATGCATGATTTGCTGAAGGTGTCTGGTATTAAAAGCCTGAGAATACAGTATTCTGGAGTTTACATTGAAATCTGAAGTAGAATACAGTAATAATTAAACTAATGCAAGTTTATTCTGTGCTGTTTATATTAAGTTACGCTTCAAGAAAATGATTGAATTCTGTATGTTTTTGAGCATCTACCTATCTTCTTGGTAAGGAACCACGTAAACTAAGCTATCTGTAGGTCAAACAGTAACAAAAAGCTATTAAAGCTTTGCTAGATGTATCTGCGAGTTTTTTGGACTGTCGGTTATCTTTACAGTGTTGCTTAGAATGAATACTTTCCATGATGTATCCAGTTTATACTGTTAGTTATACAGTGGAAAATGAGTGTACACTTCCTGAAGGTGATATAGACACCAGTGAAACAAAGGAAGTTTCTATCACTTTTCATACACTAAATAACTTTAATTCTTCATTTTCCTAAATTGGATGCAGAAGAGATGTCTTCTCCCATCCACCCTCATCCATCACTGATTCATTGCTGTTTGTGTTTATTCAGACTTCATACAAAATCATCTTGCAAATTTTAGGTTACCTGTGCTTGATTCTGTAAGTAGATAGTGGCTACTCAGGATTACTTTTTACTGTCTGCACAACTTGTCATACTTTTCAGGGATTACTCTTCTGTTGCAGTACGGTTTAGCAGCTTCCTAAATTCTTAAGGCCCCTAAACTATAATATATACAAAATCTTTCAACCTACAACACAAAACTTTTCATATTTTGTGAATGCACCACAGTGTAAGGGTCATTCCAGTATATTACCTGTCCTTAAGGCTGCTGCCCCCTCCGAAGGGATACAGTAGGGTGTTAACCTTGTTCTGATCTCTCTTGCAGATAGAAGTATGTGAAGAGAAAGCTGCTGCTGTCCTTCCAGCTTCTTGTATCCAGCAGTTGGACAGTGGTAACTGGAAAGAGAGGCTTGCTTGCATGGAGGAGTTTCAAAAGGTAAGTTTGTAGCCATTGATAAGAAGAGAGGCAGGTAGGGGAACAGAAAGAAAGCAGTAATTTCTTAATCTTTTAGGCCTGGTAACTCTTTTAAAAGACATACTAGTAGTAGTGATATATCAGCACTTCAGATGGATTAAGCAATACTTGCAAAAGACAAGTGGTTTACATGGTTTAAATTGGCTTTTATTCCGTAACAGTAGTGGAGTAAGTCTTTTAGTTTAATGTAGATAGTTATGCTTTTGTCAAAAAATATTTGTGTGTGGATTGAGGATGCATGGAGGTGGTCTTAAAACACTAAGTAATTCTAAAGCTTAGTCTCAAAGATAACTAGGTTTAAACCAAAAGTTTTGCAATGACTGGGCAAAACCAGTTGCAAGTAAATCCCTGCTGATTGCATATGAGGCAGCAGTTGATTATAATACTAAAATTTCAGTTGGCAAATAGTAGATGTTTGAAGCCTTATGCAATACCAGCAGTCTTCACAGCTGGTGGGCAAGTGCTTCATGTACTCACAAAAAAAAAAAGCATCATGTGTCACTCAAATGTGAAGCCTGGCTTTCTGCATATGGTATCTGTCATCAGACCTTTGAGAGTTCACATTCAAAAAGGCATCGACTGTAGATGTACAAATAGTTCATGCTGCTACACCATTACAGTTGTGACTGAGTTTTTATATTTTAGTGGAAAAGGTGACTAACTGAAACTATGAAATAGTGACTGGCTGCACTGAGATGCTGCTGCAGAAGCCAACTTTACTCAAATGTAAAGATGTTACAGTTTCAGTGGAATGGATAAGCCTAACAACAAGTAAAAACAGTAATTTAGATTACATTCAGGCTTAATCTCTGCTGTGTAGTCAGCATTCCAGTGTGAAAGGTGCACAGTATACTTCATCAAAAAAAAAAAAAAAGACAGCTTGGGTTTGGGGGGCTGTGGTTTTTGGGGGTTGGTTGGTTTGTTTTAGTGAAGTGTTAAATTCCCAGGGCTGAGGTGGCCAATGGTGGTTGTAAGGACACTTGTCAAAGAACATACAAAATGTAGCAATGTGAATGCTGTAGTTTAAATGTTGGCTCAGTACCTGTAAAATGGGCTCCTTGTAAAAGTCGGTCTTGTAATAAGGCTCTTCAGGTAAATTCTTATGTTGAGAATTTTCAGTATTAAGAAAATATTTACAGCATAGTTGAGGTAACTTCTGTTGCTGTTCTGGGGTTTGTGTCACTTGTGACCCACTGGCTAACTTAACGTTTATCCTTTAGGCTGTTGAGCTTATGGAGAGAAGTGAAATGCCTTGCCAAGCTCTAGTAAGAATGCTGGCCAAGAAACCTGGTTGGAAGGAAACAAATTTTCAGGTAATACATGATCTGTCAGTAACTAACAGTCCACTTCTGTTACTTAATGTAAGCTGTGTTCTAACTGAAAGGGTGTAGGTGCTTATATGTTATTGATGACAGTCCTAGCACCATGACCACAGTTGTATCTGTAGTCAATGAGAATATAAACTCTGAAATTAGATTTTACGTCCTGGCAGTTGAGACTGAGACAACATTTGAAGATATCTAATGTACATGTATGTGTAAACATGTGTGTGTGTGTATATGTTCTAAAGTAGATAATGGCTGCCCAGTATTATTGATTACGTGTGTGTGTGTATATATATAGATATTAAAATACGTATTTATATACAGACAACTTGTGTTTAAAGACCATATATATACAAGTATGTGTATACAGAATATGTATTTGTGTACACAAATGTTTGAACACGCATATATATTCAAATGTGTATATATACATTTGTGTATGTATACGCACAAATACATATTTTATGTGTATATTTGTTTTAACCCACAAATATATTTTTTTAATATATCTATAAA